TCTACGCAGCTCGAAGCCGCATTTCGGCTGCCGCCTGCGGCCATGAATTTTTTTTTTTAATTTAAAAATCAAAATAAATGTTAATATATATACATTAAATATTTATAAAATAAAAAAATAAAATAAATATATTAATATATATTTTCTATAAATTTTGAATATAAATAATAAAAAATTATATTAATTTATAATAAAAAATAATATTAATATATATTTAATTTTTGGTTTTTTTTTAAATTTATTTTGTTTTTTTTTTGGTTTTTAAAATATATATAGATATATATTTATTAAATATATATATATATTTAATATATAATATATAAATTTAATATATACATTTTTCGGTTTTTAAATTTATTTCATTTTTTTCGGTTTTTAAAATATATATAGATATATATTTATTAAATATATATATATATATATATATTTATTTAATATATAATATATAATATATATATTTAATATATTTTTATTTCGGTTTTTAAAATATATATATAGATATATATTTATATATATATGTTTAATATATATTTATTTAATATATAGTTTATTTTCGTTTTTTTTTAGTTTTTTTAATGTTAAAAAACTGAATTAAAAAAATGAATTTTTTAATATTTTTTTTAGTAAGGGCAAAAGAGGAATTTTTGGGTGTGGTGAATAGCAAAAGTGGATGCGGTAAATAGCAACACTCTTGATGAAATCACACAATTGCCCTCCGAAATAGTTATTTGCCCATGATATAAAATTTTATTTCCAGTTTTGTCACTCCAGGTTTGACCATTGTAATTAATTTTGACTTAATTATGTCCATTAATCGTACCGATCCAATGGTTCATAGTCATTCTTATTTCTTTCACTATCAACCATTCTCACATGATCCCTTCTCTCTCTCTCTCTCTCTCTCTATATATATATATATATATATATTATACACAATAGTTATACTATATATAATTTATAAAATTTATATAATTATCCTTGACGAATCGAATATCTACAAATTCGAACTCGAATTCGTTTAACTTTCGAATACACAACATTATTCGTATTCGAATTCGAATCACGAATATTGAATTCGAATATCGAATCGAATAAAAGAACTTTAATTTGTTTACAAGCCTAGTTGAGAGGGATAGAAGTTTGAAGTTTGCCTTCATCAACTTCCATCTCTTCAAGAGTCGGTTTCAATTTTGTCATTTCAAATAACAAGAAATCGACATTGACACCCAAAATCTATATATATTGAAAAAGAGAGGTCAATAAATCATTTGTGGAAACTTTTAAAAAACTGGTCAATAAATGCATTGACTTCCCATTTGTGGAAACCATGGAAAAATCCGAAAATGATTTTTCTTTCTCTTGATTTTTCCGTGGAGATAAACATATTTTCCGATTTTTCATCCTGATTTTGTGGACACTACCTACATGATAGACATTAACTTTAAAATCTTATCCGATAAATGCGCAATCAAAATATTACCAAACACCGATGATTGCATACAAAGGAAGCATTGATGTGATAATTATAACAAAACACGGCACTTGGAAATATTAAAATCCCACTTTTTAAAAAAAATTGCTAAGAAATCTGGATATTGTATTGTGATTATCCGAACAGATTATTCAGTTCCCAACATTGAGGAAAGTCAAACATATGATAATTATAAGAAAAAACGTATAAAAGATTAAAAATATACCAATAAAACGGCACATAAAAATTTTATGATTCCTTTTTTTTTTAATTGTTATCAAATCATTATATATTAGTATCCAGTGATTATAAATAAATTAATATTCTCAAAATCTCAACATCCACAAAAAAGAGTCGTACAATTTGTAACAATTTTAAATTGAGCAATATATTATTCTTATCAACTTCTAGAATTTTCAGTCAATTAAATATTATTTTATGCTTATTTTACTAAGCATAAAATCTTCAAAAACCTTTATCTTTAACCAATTTGCGTATAAATAGCCTCAACATTTGATATAATGATTCACTCTACCAACAAAGCAAAAATAATAATATCCTATTTAATGGATTAACAATGTGGCCTCACAACGGATATTAAAAGAAATAACAGGCTAATGATGAAGCTTCGTGTCGCCTTACCGCAATTATTTGGAAGTTACATGGAAATTGTTTTCCATGGCAGAGGTTTGTTTCGAAAAACTTTATTTTGTGCTATTTATTATTTCATGTTAAATAGATTCGTATTGTTCTTAAATTTGATTGCTTTTTATTTTTATTTTATCCAGAGGGAGGCCGAATGACAGGTCTGATTCGAGGTAATGTTTAATTAAACCATTCGCAATTAGTAAGTGAAGAGTAATATCAGCAAATAATCGCTCTACCATTGCAAAATACAAGATAAGCAATCATGGGAAGACGGAGATATTAGAGTATTTTGCAGATTTTCCAATGATTCATTTCGATTTTTTAAGTTTTTGGATATTGATGTTTGGTCATGGTACAAATTAAGATGAATTATTAATTTATTGTTTTATATATAGTATGCATCACATTAATATAATTGATTTCTTTTCCTATGATAGATGTTATTGGAATGATGGTTGAGGTGTAGCAACTCAATCAAAAATGGTGGAGGGGAAAGTACCCAACTGATTGTGTTCTTAATAATGAAATGGAAGTGCTCGAAAAAGGAGATGGTTATTAATTGAAAGACTCATGAGGTATAATTCGAAATATTTACACAAAATATTTTCCTTTGTGATAGTTAGAATATCATATTTATAATTAATATATTATAAATTAATTTCTTATATATTATAGGCTATGAAGACTTGGGTTGTAAGGGTTGTGACTGATGAATCCTTAGTCTCCAAACACAACCAGTCGGTTTAAGAGAATGTATGTCCTTATATCACTTAATATGATATTCATAATTTATTTATGTATATTATTTTAATTTAAATTCTTACTTAGTTATAGGAATCGGATTTTCTCACTTTGCTACAAGGGAAGATCATGATAATGGAATGCTTTGTATTCAATGAATAAACTACATGTTTTCAATTTTTACACTATTCATAAAAAAATATTTTTTGAAAATAGTGTAGATTGTTCAAGTAATTGAGCACATGAACGACATGTCTCAACTGCTAAGCGCAATCTAATGGATGATCTTTCTGTGTTCTACTACCAAATAGTGGCAGCAATAGTGTCTGCCACAGCTTGAAAGGGTAAGGCTAAGATTCGCGAGTCACATGATCCATGAGTGGAGGGTGACAAATGAATCATGGAGTCATTTTAATAAGTTATGGGAATTATTATAAGTCTATTTGGTCAATTTTTAGGTTTTTATGGATTATTTTACTTATTAGGTTTTGATTTTGAGACAATTCACATTTTTGGGCTTTTGATCAGTCATTGACAGCATATAACTTTCTGCCGATTTTGAATTAATAATACAAATATTGTTTGGATATTAAATATTTTTTCTTTTTATTCAATTATTTACCCATTTGTTTAAACTACATAATATAATTCGGCACCATCCATCTATTAAACTAGCAAACTATTGTCAAGCAAATAGAATATAAAGACCACTATTTATTATACTTTATTTTGTAACAGAAAAATCCGTACAAAATAAAGCATAAAAAATATATTTTTTTTTTTGTTTTTTTTCACATAAACTAATTTTTGAAAAGGAAAATAATCAAATTAAAATCTACTTGTGTACTAACAATTGTTAAACGTAAATGTAGCACATGCTTTAAACAATAATCCTGATATATACAAATTATTTTAACAAACTAATTGTGATATATACTACCGATTAAATTTTTAAAAAAAACTGTTATATTTTATTAAGAGTTACCATATCAAATGCAAATGTAANCCCGTGTTGGCATGTTCTTGAAGAAATCAGTGTTCAGCCACAGTAAATTGTATGTAGTTGTTTCACGCGTTACGAATCGTACAAGTTTGAAGATTTTAATTTGTGGACATGATGATGTACCAAAACTCAAAAAAAGAATGTTATGTACAAAAAAGTGTTAAAAAATATATAAATAACATTATTTTTATTCCAATAAATGAGTTTATATTTTGAACAATGATCCCATCATCAAAATAAAAATGTTTCCCTAACTATTACTAACTCGTGCATCGCACGGGTATCGCACTAGTAATACTTTAAACTACGAAATATCAAAAATTAACGTTTAGGCTCGAAAAATTTAAAATTTATACATAAAAGGAATGCAAGAGAGGAAATCTATATATATTTTTCCAAATTTTTTAAATTCACGAGTGCTCGGATGCATTATGCATATACCCTATTTGGCCTCGACTTTTGTCCTCTACACTCCAGAATCCAAATTTAACCCAAACCACACTACCAAATAAATTACCAAAACTCTGGCCAATCATTTTTCGACACGTCAACGATTGCAACGCTGCACACCCCGACTTGCCACAGCGGAACATCGCAAAACCCCACCATCATCGCCTCCAAACAAAAGAACCATTACAGCAAAAGGCAGCCAGAACTCTTCTCACACTCTCTCCACTGACAAAACCCTAAAATCCGCTGCAGAACAGCCTCGTTTGTTAATTTTCTTTGAATTCTTTTTCGTTAGCTGTTACTTTAGTTCATTCATATCCAATGGCGAACAATAAGATGAGGGAACAAGATTTTTTGGTGGCTTCAATTTCGCAGCTGTCGATATCCGGTAACCCTTCGCCGCCTGTGGTAGCTCGGTTTCGCTCCCGGTCCCTTCAGTTTGGCTCTGAGTCTAGTTCGAGTGACTCGGTTGAGTTCGATCTTCAGAGCTGTCAGGTTTTGAAATATTTTTGTTTGGTTATTAGGTATTTTGCTCATACCGTGTATGCGAAAGTGGGTAGCAATCTGATGGAATTAAGTATAATGATGTGAAAACCGCGTTCTTTTTTCCGCCTTGTTTCTTAGACGCGGTTGATGGATCCTTTGGGCCCTGTTTTCTATATGGCATTCTACATTTTAAGATTCTTCTTACGATCTCTTTGACCTCAATTTTGGATACAGAGGTATTGGATATTTGTTTTAGAACTTCTGATAATACAGAGAAAATTGGAAAATATTGTTTCTTTACCCCTTATTTTAGTGGTTAACAAAAACAGAATCTGAAAGATAAAAGAAATTTAAAGAAAGAACAGTCGTTATGTAAAGTTAGTTAAGCAGCTGGAATTTTAAATCCATTTAGTACTAGAAAATGCACTGTCATTCTTTGGTAGTGCATTGGAATCTATTTGCATGGTACTTGAAAAGAGTGCTTTTGGAGTTCACTATTTGGAAAGTAATACTAATAATTTTGTTCGAGTGTGGAACATCTTTGCTTTAAATAACATGATAAATGCTGTACATATGTGAATTCACAAGTTTAATATTTATGCTAACATCCTGCTCTATCTCTCCTTCCCGCTCATCTTTTCTTGTGATGGTTCATTTTATCTCACTTTGGTTCTTTTCCCAGCTTTTCAAGCTAAGCCCTTCTCAATCATTGTGTATATCTGAAGCTTCTGAAAAAAATAATGAGGTATGAGATCAATTCATATGGAGATACATGATGTCATGCGTGTTTTCCTACTTAGGAGGATTATAAATATTATCCGTGCTCTTGAAATTTGCTTCCTTTTCGCTTTATTTATTTTTCACTTTCAACATACATGCATGTGAGGCATTTGCTGAATAGGGTACTCTATTGCGTATGAACTTTGCTGTAGTGTTAGGATGAATTTAAATCATAAATATATGATGGGCTTTCGTGGAAATGAGAGATGAAGGGTTCTTTTCCTATCATGACATATTGAAATAAGGTGTTTAACTGTTGACCTTTTTCTTTGAATCAGGAAAGCTATTCAGCAGCAATCACCATACAATTTAGAAATCAAGAAGAATGTAGTGCTTTCCATTGTGCCTTTGAGCAGTGCAAAAAGGAAGTAGTTGCGCAAGGTTGGTGTTCTGAGAATTTGTTTTGTGTCATGGCAGATGTGGCTGGCATCATGATCTTTCTATAAGTTTTTTGCTACCTTTTCAACTGAAACCTTCTGGTAAAGCATACGAGGGGCTATTCCTTGGTCTGGTATTGAACTGCTATACTAATGTTGTAATGTATTGGTTTAATAATGCATATAAATTTGTTCAGAGTTGTTGCATCAAGTTTAATACTTTCAATAGATCATGTTACAAGTTGTGCATGCATTGTAGTAAGACCCACGAGGAGCTTGGAGCTGGTTGTGCAGTTGGTGTATGGCCTTGTATTTACGTCATTGCTCTATTCTTGTCAATTAAGAGCATTGCAAAATTGTTCGTATTTAATATTTCTGAAGTTTCTTTTGAGTGTCACCAAGTATCATGTCATAAGTGCTATATCTTTGAGGGGAAAAAAAAAAAAATCAAACTGCTATTACATTATCTTTTACACCAAATTTTAAAATGTTCGTATAAATTAGATCATTCTCACACCATGTATGCAGAAGTTATTGATAAATGCAGGTGTACAAAGATATCATCTGTCATTCTTTGTCCTTCAGGATTACCTTTATCAAATGGAATTGTGTCATCATCCACAAGTAAGTTTGATGACAAAATAGAGGCATCTTCTTCCAAAATGTACTTTCATTACTATGGACAGCTTCTGCACCAGCAAAATATGTTACAGGACTATGTCAGGACAGGTTAGATATTTAATCTGAAGATTACTACTCTGTCCTCTGGAGTTTGTTACAGTTGTCTGTTCACCCAAACTTTAAAAAACACTTGTGGATTTGGTTCATTATCAAGATTATCACTTACTTTTATGGCTGTAGGGAATAGTAAATACTTGTATCGATCAATGAATTGGTATAAATTTTGATATACAGGAAGCTATTATGCTGCTGTCCTTGAGAACCGTGTCGATTTTACTGATCGTGTTGTAGTTGATGTTGGTGCTGGTAGTGGGATTTTGTCATTATTTGCTGCTCAGGTTCTAAAGTGCACATTAATTTTTCAACACCTCTGAAATAAATGAGTACATTAGCATCAATCATCAAGCTGATTTAGATATGCTTTCTCTCAGGCTGGTGCAAAGCATGTTTATGCTGTGGAAGCATCTGAAATGGCAGATTATGCTCGTAAACTAATAGCTGGAAATCCATCACTCAGCCAAAGAATAACAGTGAGCGTGTTGTTGTGTAGACATTCTTAAAAGTTAATGAGATGAGTAATTTTACATTTTCTTTATTAGTATAGTGTCTATCTTGTAGGTAATCAAGGGTAAAGTTGAGGAGGTTGAATTGCCTGAAAAAGCAGATATTTTGATATCTGAACCAATGGGTATGCTTAATTTTCCTTTGTCGTCGGCAGATGATGATTGCCTGAGCATTGAACATGTAACGAGCTAAAGAAATATATGCGCAATCATTGTTTTAAATGACGAATGGCAAGGCGAGGCGTCGGCTACACATGCCACCAAAATGTGGAAAAACAATATTATAGNCCTAGTTTTTTGTCTGTGAAAAACTCTGTTCGACGACCACCCCATTTCTTTTCTTTTGATTTCAAGTCTTCTCTTTACGTAGTTGAAAATATGTTGCGTTTTTGTTTTTTTGTTTTTTTTTTTAAAAATTTAAAACAGAGAGGTGCTGAGGCAAGCCTCACGGCACCTCGCCATGCGAAAAGGTGAGCCGAGGCCACCTGAGGCGGCCGCCTCAGAAACAGAGTCGCCTCAGGCAGACCCCATGCCTCGATCACCTCTCGCCATGGCATCGCCATTTTAAACTATGTGCACAATGCATTTTCAGTTTAAGGAAATGCTCTTCCTGAATATTATGTTATGGCATCTACTGACGACTGAGTTTTCCATTCAGGCACTTTGCTCGTCAACGAGAGGATGCTAGAGTCCTACATAATTGCGAGAGATAGATTCCTCATCCCAAATGGGAAAATGTTTCCGACTATTGGAAGGTAGTGTACTAGTGTTAATGAAGATCACGCCTTTTTGTTTTCTTTTCTTTTTTCTTTTCCATCTCTCTCTCCCTCTCTCTTTGTTAGTTTTCTTTTCTAATGGGCTTGATCTTCCGATTTCCATAAACGTTGCTGGTGCTTGTATATCCTACGGCTAAAAGTATTAATTTTTTTCCTCTTGCAGGATACATATGGCACCATTCAGTGATGAATATTTGTTTATTGAAATTGCAAACAAGGTAAGAATTTACTATAGCCGTGGTCCCCAATTTTTCTTCTCTAGAAACTAGAAAAGTCTGTATCATTAGTCAGTTGGTTACACGTTTATAATCTCAAATAGACGATAACTTAAATGTTTTAATATGGTCGAAAGTCGGGATTTATCATGAAAGATGTTGCGCTGATTTCTCTATTTGTATTGATTTTGCGATTCAAATGAGATTTTTATTATTTCTGTTTCCTGTCCAGGCTTTGTTTTGGCAGCAACAAAATTATTATGGTGTTAACTTGACACCTTTGCATGGCACTGCGTTTCAAGGATACTTCTCACAGGTTCAATTCCTTGCCTTTCAGGATGCTTCTCCTTTTCTATCATGTTGACATAATTATTTACACATAATGTATAAGGCTGTCAGCGATAATTCGTGGTTTCTATTAAAGCATGAATTGTTTCCTTCTCTCAGATATTACACATCAAATAGTTAGATATACTTCTTTTAAAATGCTCCGTGACTGGTTATCTGTGGGTTTTCAGTCATTAAACAGTTCTGTAATAAGATACTCTTAACATTTCGGACGATATCAGAGGGTAATGTCTGGTTGATTGACTTTCATTCTGAGATAAATCCATACTGTCCCCATGGGAATTGCAGAACATTAACGATTTACTAAATTTCTATGATATAAATTTGATTTATTTATGGTGGTTTTGTTGATTGTTTGTGAAGAGAAGGCTGTGTTTGAACTTGACATATTCGTTTACTTAAGTCTGGATGTTACTTATCAAAGTTTACTATTCTTTCTGCAATCATGTTGCGAGTCTTTTCTCCTCATCTTACTCTATCCTAATCCAGTGATGCAGTTAGTAGCGTGCTGTCCATTTAATGCATCTGGTGT